GGGTGACAGAGCCCTGGAACAGGCTGCCCAGAGAGGTTGTGGAGTCTCCTTCTCTGGAGATCTTCAAAACCCGCTTGGACACAGTCCTGTGCCACGTGCTCTAGGTGACCCTGCATGTGCAGGGGGGTTGGACCAGATGACCTCTAGAGGTCCCTTCCAACCTTAAGCATTCTAAAGCAACCATAAAATCCCAAATTCTTCATATTGCTAAAATCTTTCTAAACTTCAGAACTTAACTGCTATCATGAGACAAAAAATAACATTATGAATAATTTTCCTCATTTTTTTAAGGCGTTCAGATGTGAACTTTTAAAGTAATGTCTTGAATAGGATGAGGCCTCTGAATGGTAGATAGTAAAACAGCATGAACAATTTTTATTTCTGTAATATTTTTGAAATAATTTAAATCTCACCACTGTCTTGGTTATTCATGACTTTTCTTAGATTTCCTGATAACTAATCAATGGGAGAATCAATTGTAACAAGAAAATGGTTTTCCCATGAATCTTCCTAATTCAAACTGACATTAAATTAGGCAAAACACAGCAGTTCCTAATTATCTGCCGAGATAAAATTCCAATGAATATTTAAAAATCTCTCCCTTAAAATAATTGAACTATATTTTATATTTTGTTCCTTACTAAAATTCTTTGCATGACTATGTAGTTTTTAGCCTGAAAGTTTCACATCATCTGTCTTGTTAGTTTAAATAAGTGCTAAAAAAAGTTAATGAGCAAAACCTGATAATAGAAGGATTTTCTTATTTGAGATTAGCTGTGTTGCCCATTGTAAAATTTAGGAGGCAAAAGTATATTTTTTCCTTGCATGGAATAGGATAGAATTCTTAAAATGAAGAGCTAAATATAGCCATTTTAAAATGGGTCTGTTCTGTTCTTCAGCAACTGAGAAAATATTTAATTATCATTCAAGCAACATACCCATAAGAAAGATCTTTAAACCCAAAGTCAAATTAGGCAGCCGAAAAAAAAAATGTTCTGCTTTATCAGAAACAAATAGAGGAAAATTTAACTCTTTTTGGGGGGGTTGCTTAGATCCTAAGATCTTTGTATCTCAGAGAAAGTGGGATTAAAAATCAAATCAGATTGTACTTTTATTTTAAAAGCTGAAAACTTTCTGTAAAGCAGTCCACCCCTTGATACACCAAATGACAGTGGACAGGCAGGAACATTAATATCCAAAAGTATTCAAAGCAGCCCAAAGAATACTTGAACCACACATGGGGAAAAAAAAAGTGAGATACTGGAGACACCAGTGACACTTCAGCTGCAGGAGTGTGATTCAGCTCCAGTTTGCAGGCACCCAAATGTAGCTGCTTGAATGCAGGTGGCTGCATGTGTCAGCCTAGTCCTCCCTCAGTGGAGATGCAATCAGTACAGATGATGGAGTCTAGACAACAACTCAGCTGGCCAAACATAGGTGTTTGCAGTAGAGTAGGCTGCATAATTTAGTTTTTCTAGACTTTATAGACTGCATTGACTAGGTCTTTATTGATCAAAATGGGATCTTAAGACACAGAACTTACACATACACTTTTAAAGCTAGGTGTCTTGGTCTGCAAACTGACCCCTACCCAAACTTGTATGTCTGCTGCAAATCATAGCTCAGCTTCCAGCACTGCGTGGATTAAGAGTAATTGGTCTCCTGTTGTAAATTTGCCAAAAGTATTTGAGTTCCCAGAATTCTGATACAAGCCACATTTTATTAATGATTTTGTTGTTGCTGTAGTACATCTGGAACCTTGACTCAACCGTGATTTTAAGCACTCAATGTAAGTCAGAGCACTTGAGTGTCTACAGAATTCCTGAAGTCTTGCTAATGGCTAAGCTGGTGCTCAGGAAGAACATAAATTGACTCTCACAGCCCTGTTGCTATTCCTTTGCCTCAGTATTATTTCACATTTCTTACAAAATGTTTCCCTAACTAACTTGTGCAGGGCAGTGATTCTGAATGCCTTTTTAAAGCAGCTTAATTTTGGAAAATCAAGGAAGTATTGATTAAATGTCTTTCTGAAGGGAAATGAGTATCTCAGTTTTCTTTTTGAAAAAGACATCAGTGATCTGACTAAGCTAATTCATAACTTGTACACATAACTTATAACTGAGATATTACTCGTCAGGCAGGGATACCCATGGATATGTAAGGTGGCTCATAGACCCTGTCCCATCCGTTTCCTGAGCAGCAGTACTACCACCCATCTTTGGAAGAGCAAAGTGAGGATTCCCAGGACTGGATAGGAGTGTTCAAAATAGATCATGGTTACTACTTGTATAGGAGCAAAGCATCAGTCATAAAGACTAATTCAAGGCATCCGTGAATAACAGAAAATGGATTATTATGTAAAATAATAAGAAAAAGAAAGCTCTATTCGCCATCCATTTCAGCGTGTGCCCATATTATCCTTGAAAGATGTGGTCTAATTTGTTCTTAAAGACCTCCAGCAGTGGCGATTCCACAACTCCCAGGGTATTTTTTTCTAATGGTTAGCTTATTTCTACACAAGGCCCAATAAAAAGAGCAGTACTTCCCCACCTTTATGCCCTGTGAACATATTAATGCTCTCTGCCTTAGCAGTGTGCCAAGCAGTTCCTGATAACAGTGCTGAGAGGGATGTAAACGTGGAGTATTGAATGTACTGCTGCTTGGACCATCTCCCTTCATGCTGCCAGATTGATCTGTGCTTCCCAACTGGCTCTTGCAGCTCCCTGAGCCAGAGCTTCCTGTTTTCCACTTTCTTTTCCTTTCTGCTCTTTCTCTATCAGCACCAGGCAAACCTGCAGATCCTTACTCAGTGTTTTTCTTGCTAGTTTTCACTCCATGCTATTTAGCTGTCCCCAACTTGAGTCCACTGCTGACTCTTGTTTAATGGTAGCTCTCTCATTCAGTGGGAATCAGGTCATTTGCCACCTCATTCATGTCTTTATTCTGCAATGACAGGATGCACATTTCTAAAAACAGTAGATAATACTGATCACAGATAAATTTCAGTGTCATACAACATAGTTTTAGTGATGTTCAGATCCTGCAAATACTAATTCAGATGAATGAATCTGACAATCTCTAGAAAAGTTGTGAAGAATCATAGAGAACTAGGCAACACGAATAAAGGCAACTTATCACCAATAAAAGAAGGCAGTGTGATTTATAGAAGCATTAGTGAGAAAGTTACTTAATTATATGTTAAATTTAGGCAGTGAAAAGCACAGGAAATCTGTGGCAATGCTATAGTTTGGATGTAGCTGTACACCATCATTTGTACCATAAATACAGCATAAAAATGTTTCAACAAGCAGACAGAAGAATAATTATATACTACCACTCATATGCCATTCATATTAAGATAAGTGAGCCCAAGTTTTCATTAAGTGAATGCCCCTTATTTCCGTTTTTGTTATAAAGAACATTTCATGTGTTTACTCTTCAGAATACAAATCTTCAAAGGTCTTCAGCAGTCATTCTCATCCAAGTAATGCAGCACTGAGGTACTGCATTATTTCCTAAGGAAAAAATCCATTACAATGGTGGAGATGCTACCACAGCTTTCTAGCTTATTTCTCCTATATTCTCAACTATTCCCAAGCATACATTTCAAAGACTGAAAATTGCTCCCTTTCTTATCTCTTACCCTGCAGCCTGAAATCCTTGGTGTACAAAGTAGTGTTGCCACCGCTGTGAGTTGCTGTCTCCAAATGCTTGAACGGAATTCGCTTAGTTAAAGTTTAGACATTTACAGTCTAAAGATGCATTTACAGTCAAGTAGATGCCCTTGTTGACGTACTAACTTAAGCTTTCTTACTGGGGAGAGGTATGATTCATATTATGCTAAAGCAGAAACCTGGAGTAAGCCTGATGAATTACTTCACAGATGTATCTGTGTCTCTTCAGTACTTATAAAGTGAACATGGATGATTGGGTCAGATGTCAGTATTTACACTTTAAACAAGAGCTGGATAAAGTGAACCCTACTATAAATATTGATTTACTTGAAAGTGTTTTTAAAATATCCTTTATTCTATTTTATTAGGTGCAGAATAAGAGATACGATGCTATTCTAAAACGTTTGCATTGCCAACTGAACAAACTTCATTCCAATAAAAGACAGTGGCATTGGAACATTCAACAGATGGAGAAAAAAGCAGCAGAACTAAGAAAATGTCTTGGCGTGGTAGAGTGACAGAATAGCATACAGTTCAAGCCTAGCAGATACAACAAGGTAATGCTTTCTAAACATAGAAGGTTTCTTTTGGAAATAATAGAAATTGTAAAGTAGTCCAATAATTGGGCCAGGGCTGTTTTATTTTATTTTATTTTTTTATTATTTTTTTAAGGTTTTCTGCCCTACATTTTGTGGCCCAAACCAAGCTCTTGTGTCTCTAGCTCGTTCTCAGCCCTTAATGGTTTAGAATACTCTTCCCCTTTGTTACTGTAGCCACTGGCTGTTCAGGAGGAGCTTTTAGTGTATGGGCCAGTTTTACACCTCGGATTTGAGGACTGTTTTTTATGTGATTAGACTGTAGAAAAATTGAGATCTACATTGTTTTTCCTCCTGAGAAATTAATATCAGAGCATATTTGCATTCTTGAGATACAAAAATTCTAGATCTTTCATCCGTAGCGTCCTACTGAATAATTCGGGAAGCTCTGATAGTCTGTATTTTGCCACGTGGGAAATTCATATAGGTGATACTACAGCTCGATTGACCTTTGTGTGCCAGAATGGCCCAGCCTGGGAAACAAAGAGGACACAGAAGGCCTACGAACAGTTACACTCAGATGAGTGATTCAAATAACCCAAATTTAACTGGTCTAATATATGTTCCCCTAGTATTTAACAAAGGGGGTGAGTATGTGAAGACCACAATGCCTTCAGATACTTGCTTTAAAAAGAAACAACACACTCTCTGGTAGTAGAAATGCATTATGCATGGTTCATTATAGAGGAGCTGATTGTGTAGAGTATCTTACCTAGCTCCTACTAAGCGTTTAACATCTAACAATCTATATTAGATAAGATGACTCTTAACATAAAAAAATATATATTTTAAAAATTCTTGTTAAGCACTAATGAACACTAGACTGTATTTTTGTTATATATTTTTATGTGAATACTTTCTATATTCTTACAGTTAACGTAAACATTCTGGCTGGATATAGCCTGTAACATTTATCTGTTCCATGAAAGTAGTTGGCACTTCACTTGGGGTAGTTGTTTGCTTACATAATTTAATTTGTCTTTATTCCTGAATATAAAATGAGCATTTTAGCAATTTGAGTATTTATTTATTATTGAACTTCAAGTATCTCTTGAACTGCCTATATTTTGTTAGTTTAGGAAGTGAGATTTTAAAATGCAATACTGTTATCATTTTTGTTAGGACATGCGTATGTTTATGTGCATTTACATTTTGCTTTAATAAGTGTTTTCTTAAATATAAGGTGATTTTAAGCAGTATACTGACTATAATTAAAGCATTTCTAACAATTGAATTTAAAAGAAGACAAAGAAAGACTTCTTAAGACTGATCTCTCAACTTAATCCTTAAATTTGCCACCTTTCTGTTGTGGTGTGAATCATGCATTCTTTGCTTATGAATTCAGAAAGGACCATCAGAACATTTAGTCTGGTCTTGTATGTAGTACATTGCCCTAACATTTGAGCTGTTTATTCCTACGCACAGCAAAATAGCTGGTGTTTTATTCAAATATATATTCCAGAAAGAGATTTAGCCTTGAAAAATCAGAGAATTTACTGTTTTATTGCTAATTCAGTGATTGCATGCTATTCTTTTGTTTTGCCTGTTTTTAATTTGAATTTATTCAGACATCCAGTGAAATGCCTGTACTTTGTATCAGATACTTTCTTTCCATAAATATACATTTATATCACATACTGTCTCTGTCTTTTGCTAAATTAAGTAGATCAAGCCAAATTTATGGACTGTCAGATTAGAATGGAATTAAATGGAGTTTAACTGATATTTATCACTTCTGAAAGGTTAGTTTCTCATAAGGCCACAGGGTTATAGCAACAACGAGCAAGAGAGAAGATTAACATTTCTTACTGACAAAATCAAAAGAAGGATTTTAGCTTATTGTATCTTTAAGAAAGCAGAGTGATGCAACATCCAAGTATTACCCAAAGTTTTAATATTAAGTGCCCTTAAATGTGTCTTTTATAATTTATTTTGTCTTGTTTTCTAATTATTTCTCAACCAGAGCAATCAATACCCTAGGATATACTTCTTAGGAGCCACATAAAATTTTTCAACCAACTTTACTTTGACACTTACTATTCGTATTAACATGTTTAAAACATTACAGTTTAACCTTGCACTTTATTACTAGGTGAAAACAATTATAGAAACAATTCAAACATTCTAATTTAACAAATATATCACATCTCAGTTTTTCTTTTTAACCAATTAGGAAGTTTTTTTTTCCTGTGTAATAGGGCACTTTCCACGTATACCTACAAGACAATTCGCTCATCATAAGCAAATACTTTATTTTCCCTATTCTTTATAAATTACAGTAGGGCTCAGCATCTGAAATAAACTTTGTGATTCTTTTGTGTATCTTCATAAATTATTTATTATTTAACAAAAGAGAATGCAACAGTTACAGATAATACTTCAGTTAGTGCTACATTCAGAGGAAAAATTACTCACTTCTACACAGAATTTCCTGTCATGTAAGGTCTAAAGATTTTGATGCTCGTTTTTGTTGTGTTTTCCAAGGCAGCTCATGATCTTGTCTACTGTGGCCTTTGACCCCTTTCAATGGAGTTAGGCTATCAAAGCAGTGCTACCCTTTTTTTAATATATTCCATATTCTTCTACCTCAGTGTAAAACTTGCTTTTTCAAAATCTAAATGCACTAAACTTATGTAAATCACATCTAAAATGCCCTGGTAACTACAGAAGATTCCCTTATTTCTCCTTATAGTTGAATTCGCTATGAAGAGCCCTGGGTACCTGTGATTCTCTCCAATTCATGTTCTGGTTTTCCCAGAAAAACTCAGCTGTGCAGGCCAGAGCTGCTGCACACTGTAACCAGATTCCTCATAGGAATGGCGGGAGTTCTGGAAGTTCAACCACAGCTCTGCCTTCCTTCCAGAAAGTACAAATACATGTTTAAGTGTTTCACATCACTGGGTGTGTTTGTGCTGTGTACCACTTGTTCTGCCTTCATTTTGGTGTTGTTAACAAATTGTACTGGTACTGAGCTTATCTTTAATTCCATATCAAACAAATGTAATAGTGTTGGTCTTAACACCAATCCTTGTGGATTGCTACTTCAAATGCCCCTATTACGTGTTGCAGTTTTTTTAACAATTATCTGTAGAAACATAATTGCCAGCTCCTAATCCATTCCACTTGCACTATGCTGACTATGTAGAGGATGTGCTTTTTAATATAAATGTTGTGCAGTACGAATACACAATCTTCCAAAAAATCTGAAATAGTTTGTTACAGGATATGGGCTCTGATTTTTACTGATGTCACACATTACTGCCCTAGCTAAATGCCACCATTATGGGCTCTCAGCCATGCATAAACATATCTGTGTGCTTAATTCAAATATCTTGACACCTGCGTTGATTTCATTTCTTACTTTGAAGTTTTGACTCTGCTCAGTCTCTGCTAACATTGCAGGAGTTCAGTCACTGAATTCTATGTAGTTGTTCTGGTTGATGCAAAGCATCATTTTACAGAGTGAAATCCATTTTGCATTGCTCGCATTAAACAGAACTCTGTATCACACAATATTTACATCTTTTCCCATGTGCAGTAATTTGCAGAACTGCACATTTAGAATTTTAACATTTAACGGATAATAAATGTAAGCAAAGCATAAACATTTTAATAGCGTATTTCACTTCAGGAAAATACTCACATGGGAAAAAGTCTGAAACAAAGAAACAGAAATTATTGCCTTGTTAAACTATTAGTATTCTGCAAAGGATGCGAAAAAGGAAATGCTTTCAACTTTTTATCAAAAGTCCAATTCTAGCAAATCCGGGCAACCTGCTGAGGCAGATTTTTCTTGGTACAATGTTGAACAGTAGTAGGTTGATCTCAGGGCTTTTTTTTTTTTTTTTTTTTCCCCTTAGCAAGCAAACACAGACATTAGAGAAATGATTTAGCATTTTGGGGGAATAACTCAATGAATGCACTTGGTGTTCTTCACGCAAGGCTTTTTCCAGCTGCCAGTACGGAAGCGTGTTGCCAAACCCCTATCCATCCCTTCTGAGAATCGGAGTGGGGCTAAGGCAGGAACTTCTGGCTCCTGCTCTGTGCAGGCAGGGGCAGGAGGAAGAACTGCCCTCTGAACAGCCTCTGAACTTCTGAACATACCGTAAGAAGTAAGAGAAGTGTTAGTAACAATGTGGGAAAACTTACCAACCAACGAGCCCTACCCATAGCTTAGCAAAATGCTGCGGCACTGAAACTGGTTTGATTCCAACAACAGTGTAAATCAGGAAGAAGATGCCAGAGGAAGCTCCACACTCAACAAGGAACAGCGCAGCAGTTTGGTCATGTCACAAGATGCAGCAATCTGCACTAGCGTGTGCTAAGAGCAGGAACATTCCCAGCTTAAAACCCCTTTCACATGACCCCGCAGCATCATGGGATGCTGAAGAAGAGGAAATGTGTCTGAAAATACAGAAAAACCTACTGAGATCCTCATTCTCATTTCGACTACACTCAGTAAGGAACCTAAGAGGGAAGACACCAGTCTGATGTTTTATGCTGTTTTGCCTGTAGCACAGAGCTTACTTCAGTCACATTGGGAGTACCACCCATTTCCATGACTTGGTGGCAGTAAGTAATGCTTACTATGAACATATAAGATGTTCAGAGGAAGAAGAAATACTGGCTAGACCACATGCTATGTATAAAGAGTGTGACATGCAGCTGAAATAACTTTCCAAACTCTCACTCAGTTTTCTGAAATACAGGAGTATATAGTTATCAAAGTAGTTATTTGATCCCTTGCTAAAATGTAGCTGCAGCATGTCAATCTGAGACATGTTGAGGCAGTGACTTCCTGAGGAATTCAAAGCCATAGTGAAATATTTTTATTTTAACTGACTCCTTTACAGGAGACAAACTTTTTTTTTTTTTTTTTTTTTTCAGGTGCAGGGTTAAGGCAGTGGAATGAACTGCCTCAG